TAGGCATCTTTCTCTCTTTTGCTAAGTACTGGATCAAATTTCTACTATTTTGTTCCCCTCATGCTGTCCTTGATCCCCTTCCATGTAACATACCAGGCAAAGAGTGAGTGTGTTCTGTATTGCTGCCGAGAATCAGATACTGCAGGGCTGTGGAAAAGTTCTTCCATCTGTAATTTCAAGATGCCTAAAACAAGCTGAAAATGTAAGGCTGCTATGAACATTTCCAGTCTGCTAATGAGAGCATTCTGCAGTTGGCTTCTCCTCTGTAGGTTTTTCTCTGATTTCTGATTTGGATCATGGAAGAAATCACAGCTTTTCCTTTCCTCCTTCAGTTTCACCTGTGCAAGCAGATGACTAATTCATCATCCAATCTAAGCCTTCCCTCTTTCGGGTTAAAGCCCCCCTGCCTCGTCCTATCACTTCATGCCCTTGTCAAAAGTCCCTCTCCAGCTCTTTTGTAGCCCCTTCAGGTACTGGAAGGAGTCTCAGGTTTCCCCAGAGCCGTCTCTTCTCCAGGCTGAACAACCCCAACTCTCTCAGCCTGTTCCCACAGCAGAGGCCCTTTCAGCATTTTCATGGTCTCCTCTGGACTTACTCCACATGTCAACATCCTCATGTTGGGGCCCCAGAGTTGGATGCAGCACTACAGGTGGGGTAGATGCAGCACACCAGGGTGGAGCAGAAGGGGAGAATGCCCTCCCTTGGCCTGCTGCCCACATGCAGCCCAGAAAGGCAGATGAGTCCTTTGAGCTGCCAGGGCACGTTGTTGAGTCATGCTGAGCTGCTCACCCACCAATACCCCCAAGGTGCTGCCCCTTAGAGCTGCTCTAAATCCATTCTCCACCCAGCCTGTGTATGGGACTGCCCATTTCACACCATGGTGCAACATATGGGCAATTGGAAATGAAATTTGCATTAAAAGCGAGGGTTATTGTAGTTGCTGAAATCAAGATGTTGACTTTTTGTTCCCATCCCCAGGTTTGAGACATTAAGGTTTTTCTGCTCTCAAAAATACCAGAGTTCATGCTCTGTGTTATCTCAGAGGCACTCATGCCATTCACCCGTTGTCCTTTAATTCTGGATAATTGTTGGGCTTCTGCACTGCAATAGCCTATAAGATGATTGATTTCAGAATGAAAAGAAAAACAAAGGGCTCTAGTCATGCACAAAGATAATTTGCATCTTTCTTCTCTGTTGAAGGGGGAACAGAGGACTTCAGATGACAGTCACCCAAGTATGGGGAGTTTCTGTTCTCTCAGGTGGTTCCAAGTCTAGGAATAGTGTGCCAGTACAGCTGCAGCCACAGGGAGATTAAGCAATCTACAGAGGAAGGGCAAATAATTTGCTAAGAATCAACGATGTTCAAACACCCCTCACCTCTGTGTTGTACCTGCTAGTTAGATGGAAGCAAGAGGGAAAAGAATTTGGCAGAGCAAGGAGAATGCTGACCTCATGTGAAAGAGAGGTAGGCTAGTGGTTTGAAAATGTGTTGTCCTATTTACCATTAAATTTCTGGATTTAATTTAAATAAGGCATCTGTGGGAAACCCAGCTTTGAATGTTTTCAGTGGGAGATTCATATCCAGATTGCTGAAGTCCAGTGAAATTCATTACACAAATTTGGAAGTAAATAATTCAATTACTGAGTCAAGATCTCAAAAAACAATGCATAAGTGTATTGGGAGCAAATTTGAAGCTTATGAGACATTAACTCAGACCTGGCGTAGCTTTCACCTATCTTATTTTAGAAAGGACCAAAAAAAAGTAAATGGGCAGGGACATTCACTGCAAAAAGTTCAAAGCGAGTTCCTGGGAAGATGAATGAACAGGGTATGCATTTAAATCAGGACTGCATGACATCACTGAATCATTTAGGTTGGAAAAAACCTCTAACACCATGGAGTCCAACCATAAACCTAGCACTACCATACCCACACTAGGCCGTGGCCCCAGGTGCCACATCCACACACCTTTTGAACACTGCCAGGAATGATGACTCCACCACTTGCCTGGGTAGCCTGTTCCAAAGCCTGGCAACACTTTTGGGAAAGATATTTTTCCCTAATACCCAATTTAAATCTCCTCTGGTGCAACTTAAGGCTGTTTCTTCTTCTCCTGTCACTTGTTACTGACACCCCACTGACAACAATCTCCTCTCAGGCAGTTGCAGAGAGCAATAAGGTCCCTCCTGAGCCTCCTTTTCTTCAGGTTAAACACCCCCAGCTCCCTCAGGCTTCTCCTCATCAGACTTGCACTCTCCACCATGCTGTACTGGTCATCATCTTGGGATCAAGCTCATAGAGATGATTTCCTCTGGAATCCTGTCTTGTCTAAGTTAGAATCACTTTTTTAATCTTATTTCACTGGCATCTTCCATTTTATTCTTAGTAACAGGCAGTGGGAATGCAGAAAAGGCTGTCTTTTTACTTCACAGCTTGCTAATGCAGCATCAGTGGGACCTCAAAATATAAAGTTTTAAGGCTTGCGGATGCCAGGCTTTGCACAAATACTGCCCAATGTCCCTTAAAAATGCTGGTCGTGTTGCATTTGGTGTCTGTGAGCCTTTTATGGCCTGTTCCTGCGGGCTGCCAGCTCACACATGCTGCTTCACAAAGATAAAGGCTGGGGACTGACCCACTCGGCGGCAGAGCAGCTGGGGTGGAATCTTCCTGGCTCCCAGCCCAGCCGCAGCTCGGCTTTAATTTCAGCGGCAGGGTGGGAGTTCACTGCCTACTGGGAGATCATTTTCCTGGTGGGAGGCAGAGCAGTGGTGTATGTGAGAAATCCTGCCCTACAAAAGTGCATTCCCATGATTTGGGCTATGAGCCCATAATTTTAACAAATTATTTATGGCTTTTGCTGAAAGCAGCAATTTAACAAAGATACCAGTTTGAGCTCTGCTGGAATTTTTTGATGAATCAATCCCAGCTGCTTCTACCATCTAGCAAAGCAATTTCAGGCACCAAGAAGGAAATCGGGCTTTCAGTGACTGGAGCAGCCCAAGTGGAACAGATGCTATTGTGGGAACTGACAGTGCTGACTCAGGAAGCTGTGACGAGAGCAGCAAGAGAAGACATGGATGGAAAAACTTGCAACAAATTATCTCCTTGTTGACACCAAAATTTTGTACTGGTGGTGGGGAAACTTAGCAGTTTACCTTTAAAAAAATAAATCCATTTCTTTGCACACTGCAGCTCCCTGTTTTGGAAGTGGAATCTTCTGCATCCTACCAGTTGCCAAATGAAGAATTAACAGGCTGCAGCACAAAGCTGGGTAGGGTACACCTCAGTCAGCTGGCAATGCAAAATGGGCTCTGCTCCCTGCGCCTTTTGGGAGGACAGATCGTGTGGCAGCAGCAGGGTGAAGAGCCCACAGTATTTGTCTCAAATGCAGGACCTCAGCTAGGCAGCTTTGGTGAATGTGGCATCACCAATAATGTGCCACATTAACATGAAAATATGTTACAAAAAAAAAAAGTAAAAAACAGACCTGGAAGAGAAAGATAAGGTGTTTGCTCAACTTCTAACGGTGTAATGCGCATGGTTCCATTTTTTTAAGTACTGCAGTGTTTTCTCAGCCAAAGCATTACAAAGCCTCTTCCCATTTGAGGCTGCCTTAAGGCCCAGAAGCTCCTAAAATAAAACAAATACATGACCATGATCAAGAGAGTCAAACCACCTTCACTATCAGATAACATTTAGTGCAAAAAGTCTCCACACCCTGTGGGCTGGTAGGAACTCTGTTCTGCTGGCATTCCCTCGGGGTGACCACAGTCTTCTGGGTCAGTAGTTCACCTTCTCCTTCACACCAGGCAAGTTGTGCAGAAAAATGTCACAGCAGCTACAATGAGCATTATACCAGCTGCTGTGTCAGACAACACAGATGCAGCTGGAAAGGCAGTTCCTGCTGGGTTATGTAAGATTTTGCCTCAAATGTAGCTACACTAACAGAAAACATTGCTGTCATTAGGAGACTGCAAGATAAAACTTTCACTTTCCCTTTGCTTTTACATCACTTTGTATTTTATCAGATAAAAGGTTCTAAATGATTACTAGAGCAAATAGCAGAAAAAGAACATAGAATTTTGTGTGTCTTGGGAAAGTTACTGTGCTCTCCTATCAATCTAAGCCTCTCTACTACTGCTTGGGTAGCTCCAAGTGCCTCAGGGCTTTTACAGCTTTGTCTTGGTACTTTCATTAATACACACAGAATTAATATGCACAGAACAAGAAATGGTGAGCCTGGTGGGAAAAAAAATCTACAGTAGGTAGAACTTGTGACTGGCAATATTGATAGAAGCCCACCAGGAACAGCAACCAAGAGAACTGTTTGAATCTTCAGTGTAATAATGTTTGTTGGCACAACATTTAAATCATCAGATAATGATGACCAGTAACAAGTCTCACATGCATCCCCAGCTTGCCAGCAGTACCTTGCTAGCAGCAATTCAGACTGATTTCCTACATATCAATGTTTTATGCTGCAAACTCTAGCTTTGTAATTCATGTTTCTGATTATTTTAAACATGTAAGAACTCTGAATAGATATGTATTAGACAGCTCAATCCTCAAAACTGGCAGTTAATAAGAAAATTCTTTAAGGCCCAGGTTTTATGCTTATACCCTGCTGACATTTTTTCCCCTTTTTCAGGCTCAATGAAAAATTTAAAAGTGCTCTATTATGTGATGCTCATAAATTGGCAAATACCCTGACTGAGGTCACCTGCAGGAGGTAAAGTTCTATGTTATGGGCTTGCTTTTAAATTTATTTTATTTTTACTTATTTATCCAGTGGTGGTAAAGTGCTTCTTTACCACCAAATTCATATCTACCATTTGATTGTGCTCATCAGCTATTTTATGGTTGCATTCCAGTAGCCAGTAATGTAATAAAAGTATTCAAAATATAATTTCCTGATTTAGTGAACAGGTGATATGTTAAGTAACAAGACTATGGACGGCCTTCAGAGGAAAATTAGGTCAATCTCAACAATACATGGAAATTATTCTGTAGTTAAACGATTTAATTACATTAACAGCCCCGCCTTTTGTGAGCCCTCGATTTGTTTAAATCCTGAACTAATAAACTGTCTTTGCATTTTCGATGGTCAGTGCACAAATGCCTTGGCACGCAAGTTCACACTCCGCTGAGTGCAATTTGATCCAGCAGAGATGTGTCCGTGATTTGGCCGCGGGCCGGGCAGGCGGAATGAGCTGCGATTCAGCAGGTGGAATGGAAGACCCCGCCCACTCTGACACCCTGAGCAGCCAGGGCATTGTACTCCGCCACAGCCTTCTCCGTTTGCAGCACCAGCACCTCAATCCCGTTCTTCTTCAGATAGTCCACAGTGGATGCTGGAACCTCGGAAGAGAAAAGAAATCACAAAAGCAAGAATGAGATTATTTTCCCCTTAAACTGTAAGACTTGTAGAAAACCAGACACTGATACCATTTGTTAAACATGACTTAAGTAACTGCCAGTAGCCAAAATGACAATGCTCAGATAGGTCTGATTTAATTTTTTTTCTCTTCAATAAAGCTACTTTTATACACATAGCTCCCCTACCTCCTTAGCACACTTTAAAATGCGGTCCTCTCTTACAAAAATAAATAGAATTGGAGCTAAAGGAATTTAAACTAAAGAAGGTGTTATTCATCCAACCAGAAAGCTAAAGACTCGCTTCTCATCGAGTAAAGCTCAGCACTTCTGATCTGAGCTTTCTGTAGCTAGTTTATCTGCTGAAATGACACCCTGGCAACAATGGTGACAAGAATGCCTAATTACCAAAGTATTTACAGCAAGCTAGAGAGCCAGTTATAACCTATTGCAAGAGGAGGGGACTAATGACATTCTGAAAAATTCTTCTTGTTTCATTTGCTCCTGTAGCAGAACATAAACCTGTTTACTGCTTGGCATGGACACTAATACAGAGGAGCTCAAATGATGTTTCTTTCAGTACCTGAGGGAGCCCTGACAGGAGCTCATTCACACTGATCCTCAATTTTTTCCCCTCTCAGTGAAGCATCATCGATTTTATTTTTTTCCTCCTAATCAGAGGGAGAGGGAAAACAAACAGTTCCCTTTATGCTTGTCACAGAACAAAAACCTACCTGCAAAGCCTCACTCATGCCACGACCAATCACCACAGTTTTAACACCCTTCTTGACGACTTCTTCAAGGTCAGCTGGCTGCACTCCTGGAGAATGCTAAGTGTCAGGGAAGGAAAATAATAGTCTGTGTACTGACAGCATCAGGCAGGAAAGCTGTGTCTGTGTGCCCTGAACACAGAGCAGCAGGGTAAATTAGCAGAACCAGAATGTAACACAACCCTCTTCTGTACGTATACACAGTAGATAACGTTAGAACCTGAAAAAGGTACTTAATATGCAGATGAAGGATGATAATTAATTGATTGATGGCAAGATTATAATTCCTTATTAAACAGTCAAAACCAAAAAGATGCATTACAAATTTCTTAAACATTTATGTCTTAACTTCTGGCATATAAATAAATATTTTATAAATTAAAATAAATAAAATAAATAATATTTTATAAATATTAACAGTTAAGGTGAAATCAATAAATTGCAACAATACTGCTGTTTGATTTCAAAACAACAAAATCTACTTGAAAGAAAGATGACTGCAAGCCAAAGTTTACTCACTTTAAATACAAAGAACTCCTCAGATAATTAAAATTATTAAATAATTTTCTTGTTTACTTTGCAAATCTCACCAAAGAGGACTGAAATTCATTGGGTAGCTTCATTTCAGTTAACAGCTTGGATTTCTGCAATATTCTTTATTTTGAGAAAAGAATATTTGAATCCAAACGCCTCAGAGAAAGAAGGAACTTACACAGCACATTAACAGATGTTTTAAAAAGTACACTCACTTGCTGCTATTATGCTTTAAACATATGAATGCATAAACACACCTATAATGTTAACATAAAACACCTATAATGTTAACATTATTATGTTACCCTAATTCTCCTCCTGGATTCAGTTTTTATCTGTCTCCATGTAAGAGTAAGATACTGGACATCCTGTGGCTATAATTTAGCCCCTCTTTGGTGTGTATTTTTAAAACATAAATATTATTTATGTTTTAAATAAATATTTAAATATTACTATAATAAATAATATTACTATTCATTGTTTTATGTAATAATATTATATTAGAATTATATAAAATTATATAAAATATTATAATTAATACATTATATAATAATATGCATGGATATTTATTATAATAATATTATTATAAATATTATAAATATTAATTATGCTTTAAATAGTAACCTCCCTTTTTTTTTTAAGTAGAATTCTGAAGTTCAGAAGTTTTTGAGAGGTCTGAGTTTCTCACTTGAAGTAGATAATGCCATGGTGGACTCATGGAAAATGGGGCAAGTAAGACTTTCCCTGCTGAAACAAACACATGGGCTCCTAAAGTTGCAATTGAAAAAAGCCTTCCATGGTACAGTGCCACTTCCAATGCATAAAATAAACTTATCCCACAAGGAAGTCTTTAGCATGGCTGATGTCTGAAATTTCAGTAAAGAGATGATTCACCTTTATGGTTCTCCAAGTTCACAGAACCATAGAACACCTCAAGTTGGAAGGGATCCATAAGAATCATTCACAGGACTATCTTAAGCTAAACCACGACTTAGGAGCACCATCCAGATGCTTCTGGAACTCTGACAAGCATGCTCTGTGATTACTTCCCTGGAGAGCCTGTTCCAGAGCCCGAGCATCCTCTGGGTGGAAAGCCTTCTCCTAACACCCCATGTGAATGTCCCCTTGCAGCTTGACTCCATTTCCATGGGTCCTACTGCTGGTCACCAGAGAGATCAGCACCTTGCCTGCACTGCCCTGCCTCTGGAAAGTGTAGACTGTGATGAGGTCACCACTCAGCCTCCTCCAAGATGAACAAGCCAAATGCCCTCAGCTGCTCCTCATAAGCCTTGCCCTCAAGGCCTTTCAGTATCTTCATCACCCTCCTTGGAACACAGTCTAGCAGTCTGATATCCTCCTTATGCTGAGGAGGTGCCCAAAACTGCACACAGAACTCGAGGTGGGGCTGCTCCAGTGCAGAGCAGAGTGGGACAAGCACCTCCCTCAGCTGTGCTGTGCTTGACACACTCCAGGACATGTCTGGCCCTTTGGGCTGGCAGGACCAAAGGCTGTGCTCACCCTTAGTCCATTTACATTCCCTATCCACACCTGGAATGCAGAACTCACTTGAATAGGCAGAGCTTTCTCAGACCAAATCACTCTAAGTACTTGGTTATGACAGAATAGGCAATGCTTTTCCTTTGGGGTTTTTAAAGTAGACTCAAAACTTAGACAAGAAGAATCGGTGTGTTGTACTGCAATTACAATAATTAGAATTCTGGAGAAGGTTTGCTGTCACGTGAGAAGCACTCCTGAGACATTAAAGACACGGAACAAAAGGATTTTCTTTGGTTACACAGGACACTTTGATGCTAGTAAGAAACTACTGTTGCTACAGGAAACATGTAACATGATGAAATAACTGTATCATTGTTGATTTGACAGCAGATTTTCTTGCCTGCTCTGTTCTCTGGCCTTCATTTCAGCAATACCTATGTCTTTTCTTCTGCCATTAGCAGGTGGCACTGAAATGCAGCCAGCTAGGGAGAGAGGGTGCCATTCATCCCCAAGGGTTAAGGCCACAATAACTTAGTGCTCAGTTACAGAACCTTGCAGGGCCAGTCATACAATTTTCCTGATGAAAAAATGCTTCACTAGACAGCAGTGTGACAGCAGAGGAGGAAAGGAAGGAATTTATTTCCAGCTAGAGTGTAGGACATGACCGGCACTGCTTGTTTGCCACACTTCAGTTCCAGCTACCTCCAGGAAAAACATGCTTAAGGAAAGTAGGCAAACAACTCCATCTTTAAAAAACTGGGCAGAAAATGCAGCTGATGGATCTTACTGTTTCCAGTGCTGACAAAATTAAATTTTTGACAGTTCTTCTCAACATTGGAGATGCAGTCTAGAAAAAGCTTAGTTCTATTCTTAATATTTGTTTTTTGCTATTTCTTTTAGAAGAAAATCACCTCACTCCTCAGCTACAAGGATAGAACTGACCTAAAGCAGGAGCTTTACAAGTGATTTACATAAGATCTTACTTTAGATATGTACTTTTTACTTCCTGATTAAATAAAAAGGATGCCAGAAAACCTACTTCTCCAGAGAACTCAACTATTCTTTTTCTCCTCCAATTTTAATTTAACATTGACTTGTTTTTCAGGTCCTCTAAAAACTTATGGATTTAAACTTTTTACTTGTGACAAGAAGATATTCCTTGTTAGAAATTTTCAGAAGAAAGCACAGCCTTTTAAATGTTAGTAAGTGCCTATAATTTGAAACCAAAGTTTTCCAGTGGTTGGAATAAATATAAAAATGTGATTGGGATGAGAACTGGTTGGGAACTTTTTGGCTATTGTTACCTGTTCTGCTTCTCCAGCCATGTGCATATAAAGCACAAAAATGATATTGTCAAACAAGCAGACAGCAACTCTCACCACAAAACCCAGCCCTTTGAACAGCCAGTGAAAACTTTTCTCTGCAAGGTGCAGGTATCTTTGCATGACAGCAGCACTTTTTTCTTGGTGTTATATATCCTGCATAAACTGAACTATGACAGGTTAAAAAAGTTCTATTCTCCCAAAGATTACAGATGAAGTTGCAAACTCAAATGCTTTGTGTTTCAGTTGTGTCAAAGTGAATCCAAGAGAGCTGCATCCTCTGCATTGATACGGCTGCAGGTGCTGGGCCTGGTCACTACACTGTTATTTTGTGCTTTAACTTTTGCTTTGGAAGTGTGGAACTTCTTTTTTCCTAGCCAATCATCTATCCCAGTGCAAGTCATAATATGGGGAAAATTATCAACATCAAGTTTCCTATAGCAATATTTGCTGTACTGCTTCTAAATCAGAAACATCAATACTGCTCCATGTTGTTCCATCCAATTCTGATTGCATTTACAGATAAACTTTAAGGGCAAGCACTTAGTATATGGCTACCAAGAGAAGTCACTGTGTGATTAGCCAGACCATGAGCTTTTCACAGAGAAAATAGTGCATGAGACACTGTATCTGCATATTTCTCTTCTGAAATATGTACAATGGACCCCAAGGAAAAGGATATAAACTAAACCACATGCAACGTTGTCTTCCAAACATGCAAGGTCAGTTACTGTCTATATTTTTTTAACTTTTCATAATTTCTTTTCTATCTCACTCAAGAAAAGTTCTGTTTATACAGTCTGAAGAGAGGTTTTTACTGTTATCTTATGACAATTTCACTCTTAAACAGATGAGGAATATTGTTTGAGAGCTCTAAGATGTGTGAGAGTTGTCTGGTGAGGGTGGCTATCAGAACTCAGGGCAACAATTGCTATATCCTGTTGCGTGTAGGACATAGTGGGAATGCAGCCCTCTGACCCCTCCACAAAGTCACCTCCAAAACATACACTCAGTTCTTACCAGGAAAATCTAATGGTTAGATGAAAGAAAAAGGCAGCTCACTGAATTTCTGTCTGGAGCTTTAACACTGTTCTCTGGACCATTCTCAGAGTCCTGTTTTAAATGCAAGGTACTAACCAGCAAACTTACATTAGTCCCGGTTTCTCGCCAATCCCATGTCCGGCTTCCTCCTGGCCATACTTTGCAGTCCTTATATGTTGTAGAGCAGCCTTTCACCTTCATCTGACCCCAAGAAAGGGAAGCAATTTCAGGGGAAGACATCACAAAGTGGAAACGAAGTCTGGAAAAAGGATATTTAATACTTAACATCAGGCCAACATATGCAGCAGTTAATAAAAATGGAAAATTCTGTCCTCGCCCCAAGGAGCTAGGAAGGAAATGCTGTTACAGACTTTATCCACGTGGTTTTGTGACAACAGACTTGAACTGAGGATCAGCAGATTTGTTGAATTACCAGTCCTCTTGGGGATTTTGTGCAGGATTTTGGGCAAATCATTTTACGTGCTAAATCTGTTCAAGTATTGGATGTTCAACTTTTAAAACTATCAACAGGGATCAGGTCCCAGAATATCCTCTCACATCTGGGTTTTAATCTTCTCCCTAAAATGAACAATGAGGAAATCATAATTTCCTAAAATATCAGAAATCTGCACTATTTCATTGGCCACTTTCTTCTTTTTAACGTTAAAGTGGTAAATGAGGTTAAGAGGAAATGCCAAACAAACCCAAACCCAACAGTAAAGCCATGAACCAAAGAGTGTCACTGCCACATTGCTACAGAAAACAAGACTTTCAGGGATGTAAAGGGGTTGAGCCTTTCCCCAGACACTGCTGACAGAGACCAAGTATCCCAGGATTATACATCCAAACAAGAACTTGTCTAATTGTTTGACCTCCATCTTCATTGTTTCAACTTAAATCCATTATTTCTAATCCTTTCTGTTGGGGAAAAGTAGAACAGCTTAATCTTTGTATTTCTCAGCTTTTTTTTGTTTGTTTTCTTGAGGATTTCACACAGTATTTTTCTTTTATTTCATTTAGATTATATAAACATCCATTCAGTCATGTTTTCTAAGTCTCTGCTTATTTTCTCCCTTTCTCCTTTAGCAGCCAACCACTGGTTCACATCTTCCTTTGATGTCTGTTGCCTAGAACTTGACAGAGCCTTATCAGTGCCCCTGTATCCCAACTGCTTTTTGGTGAGTGCTGCAGCGATGTTGGGATCTGCTTCCACAATCACTGCTGGGCACCCGCAGGGCAGGGACTCTGCCTCACAAACTCCCTGTCAGCTCATCACAGAATCTTTCCCCTCCTCACAGTCCCTCAGGTAAGGTACTGCAGTCTGATTGCTGTGGTGATTCTGGCAGTGGATGGAAAGAGAGGAATCACAGGGTGATGATCCCCTGGAAATGCTTTGGACTAGCGTGGCAGTCGACTGACACCTATCCAGGGCAGAGCCACCTTTCTGCCCTTCCAATTCACATGGTTGAAATCCACATTTTGAAGAAAACTTGATGTTTCTCCAGTAAAGAGGTCCACCTCTGCCTAATCCAGAACATCTCTGTGGCAGATCCTTCCAGATACACAGATTCTCACCCTTTATTGTTTAATTGTTTACATTCACCAGGAATTGAATAGTTTAAATTAATTACATGAACCCTGGCAGCACAGATTAAAGTCACTGCCCTTGCAAAAGATAAATCTTTGGATGACCACACTTCCAGTCCTCCTGGAAGCCTCCCTTCCTGTCTTGCACGTGCTACAAAAGATGCAGCACTGCCAGACAGGACATGCTCTCCTTGGATTGCCAGACGCAGATCTCAGCATCCCACCTAAAACACTGCATGAAGGAAAAAGTGCATTACTTTGGATTCAGCACAGGACTGGCTTTGCCAGAGGTGCTTCTCACACAGGACAGTGGGGCAATTCTTTTCCTTCTCACTCCTGTGTGAAGTTAGTGGCACATGTGTCCTGTCAAACAGGAAGCAAGGCAAGCACCAACAGGGGACTAAAACTTGCTTGGATTAATTCAGTCTAGATTCTCTCGTCGCACATCCATGATGCAATGGATTCAAGCAAAAATTTGTAAGATTATTTTTCCAAAGGTCTGCCTGAAGGGATATTCTAGCTGAAGAAATAACCAGCAGTAGTCCCAACAGAATGAAATGAAAGAGTAAAGGCTGAATAAAGCAGCCAGAACCTGGCTCTGAAGAAAAAAAATAATTTTTGCCTGTGCTACTTTTCAGATGAAATGGTAGAATTAAACCTGGAGGTTAGACAGAGGTGAATGAACAATAAGATGATTGGGAATATCATGTTCCCCAGTCCAAACAGTATCGCAAGGCTGGAACTGTGCAATCAAACAGGCACAACTGCAAATGGGAGAGCAAGGATTCCATGCTATCTTTTCCAAACAGCATAAAAACAAGTAAATAGCAGAAATTAAGCAAGAAAACTTATAAGACACCAATAAAAATTTATCCTCTAAAACCATTTCCCATAATACTGCCAGAGATTATCAGTAAAGTCAGACCACTAGAATAAATAAGAATATCTTAGAGTGAGAATGAACTCATTGATAGAAACTTTGGGCATCCTTGGATGTAGAGCATGGTCCAATCACTGAGGAGCAGGAAAATAGTTCTCAACCAAATTATTTCTTTAATTATTCACTTTGAGAAATGTAAAGTATCAAAATATACATTCACACTTAAGATCAAAAGAGACCTTGAATTAAATGACTTGCAAGTACAACCTAAAATTCCAATTTCTGCAAACTGCAGTAGTCCAAACACAAAGAGATGAGGAGCAGAAATGGCTAAGGACTCTACAAGCAAAGTTATGAGAGTTTAAAAACATCAGAAATAAAGGAAGTAGAACTTAAAAGGAGGCAAAATGCACGTTTATGCCAGGAGGCTATACTGAAAGAGTGAAATGAAGCGGTGGATAAGGATGGCAGAAGACAAAAGTAGCTGAGAAGGAAGCGGAAGCAAGCTGAGATTGAATTGCAGTTGGCTGAGCTGGTGGACTTTAAGATTGCCAGTGCACCTTTCTTCTGTGGCGGTAACCAGCAACAAATGGAACAAAAAGTTGAACGACAGCAGTGCACCAGATAACATTTTATTGAGACGCTGCAGAAAGAAAGGAAGTTTTGTAAAATCCAATGGGCAACCTGAGACTGAAGAGGATACAAGGGGAAGAGTAAATCGGTGTGCGTGAAGTTTTGGGCAGAACAAATTCCTGTAAGGTGTCAGAAGGCAACGTGGCTCTCCAGCGCTGTCTGGGAGCAGGGTCAGGAGGAGGGCGATTTCCCATTCCAGGGGATTCAGCAGCCAGAGGAAGGTCAGGATTAAAAACTGACAGGAGGGAGGCAAACAGAAAGGACGGGAGAAGTTTAGATCAACTGTGTAGGGAGGGGGAAGGTGTCAAGTTCACGAAGGAGGAAAATACACTTTGGGAATTCGGCAATTCCTTTTCGCTGGGGAGCCCAGCGACGGCAGTTAACCGGGGAGGTCACGGGGAGCTGGTAGCAAGATAAGAGGGGGAACAGCAGTTGGTGAATACAGCGGAGAGAAGCATGGAGACAAGGACAGAGACCGCTGAGAAGCAACGCGGGAGGGGTGGAGGGAGGGAGTTGGGAAGGGAAGGCGCAGTTCAGGACCGCCCGAAGCACGGCCTGGCGTGACGGGGCACAGGGACCGAGACAGGACCGGGACAGCCCCAGCGCCGGCCGCGCGCTCCCGCCCGCTCCCCTCACGGAGGCTCCGTCACGCACCCGCACTCACCGCCCCGCGCGCGCGACCCCACGGCCCCGCCAGGCTCCGCCTCCGCCCGGCCCCGCGGGGAGGGGGCGGGGCCTTCAGGCTGCCACGCTCTCATTGGACAGCGTTTCCTGCCGGCCCCGCCCTCCGCCCGTTCCGATTGGTCGGTCCGTGGATCTACCCACGCCCCTGCCCCGCCTTGTTTTCATTCCCCCTCGCCGCGCGCGGCGGAGGGGAGCCGGCTCGCGCCGCTCTGGCCGCCGCCCCCTGCCCTCCCCTGCCTTCATCGTCCCCCCGGTGCATTGTGGGATAGTGGCGGCCCGGCCCGGCAGCGCCCCCTCCTCCCTCCCCCTCCCCAGCTCCTTCTCCATCCCCAGGTCCAAGATGGCGGCGGCGGCGGCGGCTCCTCCGGCCCCATCCCCGCCGCCCCCTGCCCCGGCGGGCCCGCGCTGCCCGGGCTCCTGGCCCAACTTCGCCGTTGTCTGCTCCTTCCTCGAGCGCTACGGGGCCCTGCTGGACCTGCCCGAGCTGCCCTTCCCCGAACTGGAGCGCGTCCTGCAACCGCCGCAGGAGCCCGGAGACCAGGGTAAGCGACTCCTATAGCTCTCCCGCCCGCCTGCTCCGGGGCGGCCGGCTGAGGGGGGCCCGGGGGGCGGAGGGGGGGCCGGGGCTGTCCCCCCCCCGCCTCCTCCCGGCCCCGGGGGTGGAGCGCGCCGAGGGAGAGGAGGGGCCTGGGATTCCCGGGGGGAGGGGAGCCCTCTCTCCCTGTTTTTTTGGGGGGGAGCAGCTATTTGTGTGTGTATATTGGGGGGAGAGCTGCCTGCCCCCGCGGCGGGCTCGGGAAAGAGGTGGGGGACTTCCCCTTCCTCTCTCCTCCTTCTCAGTGCCGCCTGTGACCCCCCTCCGTCCCTCCCTCCCCCCCCCCCCGTTTCCCTGGGTTCGTTCCCGAGCTCTGTGCGGGTGGGACTCCGTGCAGAAAACAGGCATAAGACGAAATAACTATTTTCGTTCAGCTTGGCGCTGGTAGCCGGTCTCTCTTCCACCTCCTCCCTTCCCCACAGCCTGGGGGGGTGCTTCACAGCCTCTCCCCCCTCCCCCCAGTACTCTGCCCGTTTTTACCTCTCCCCCGAAGCAAGGAGGGCACGCACGCACACACATGTACAAACACATGGGAATGTCCCGATCCCCAGTCACCCCCCTCCCCCTTCACCTCGGTGTATCTGGGATGAGGAATGGGGGTCACGGAGAAGCCCTGAGCCCCCCCACGGCTGCTGTTGTGGGCCGTCTCCTCCCCACAAACACAGACAGCCATTGTGTGCCACCTCCATCTCTCTTTTCTCCCCCCTCCTCCTCCCCCATCCCCTCTTCCAGTTGCGGGGGGGGACAAGCTGTGTGCTCGCTGCCGCTCCCCCGCCGCCACCTGAGACGTGCGAGGTGGAGGCACAGGTTATGCACTCCGCTGTTTGCTTTCGAGCTGCTCTCGCTCTCCTCTCCTCCCTCTCCAGTAGCAGCTTTGGCTGCCAGACTCTCTAATCCCAGCTGCCCGCGATGGATGCGGGAGGGCCCGGGCCAAGAGAGCAGCCTGGGCAAGGAGGGCTGTGTGGAGGCGGCCGCAGGAATACAGAGGGGAGGGAGCTTGTTGCTCTTGATCTCTTGTCTCTGTTATTCGTTTGGTTGTTGCCTCTGCACTCTTGCCACATAGGGAGCCCGTGCAGCTCACGGCGCATGCTCGGCAAGGCCCCTTGGAAACTTCCTGCTGCTGGAGAAGCCCGGCTCGGGGCTGCTCTGCTCCGGCAGCCCCTGCTTTTCCCCCAAAACGCGCTCGCTCTCGCCTCCTTCCCCACCGAGCCCACCCTGCCTGGGGCCGGGAAGGGGGGGTTATGTGATTAAATCGGCGTGTAGGCGTTTCCTCATATAAAGGAAGTTGTATTTTGCTAAGTGCAGGTGTCCTGTCTGTGAATTCACAGCAGCCACTGTTGAAACAGAATGAAATATAATTAATATGTTTCCTCCTCCTGTTGTCTGTCAATATGAAAGATTGAGCTGAAATCTACAAAATTCTTAAAACAGAGTTAGCTTTGTGGAAAACTTACGTTTTGATTCAATTCCCCACCACTCCTGTACCTCTTACGTTTTATAAAGGACTGTCTCGTTTTTGGGAAACCGTTTAAAAAAAATGTTGTTTTGTTAAACTGATGCAAAACTTACTAATAAAAACTACCAACGCATTGAAAAGTTTGAATTTTTAATGAAAACAGTAATTTTAAAGTGGTGTTTTCAAAGAAACAATGCTCTTACTGTGTGGCACGAAGTGAGTGGATATGTAAGAGTATTTAGCTGTGTGAACTGCAAAATAAATTAAACTGTAAGGGTGAGATAGTGGCCTGTGTTTTAAAAATATGCATTTTCTTAAAACTCAAACACCATAATTTCTGATGACTTTTCATTGCATGATGGGGTTGTCAACATGGTGGTGTTTACTGCATGACTCTTTTCTAAAAAGAGGTTGATTTGATACTTGTCAAATGTTTAAACTTTTCTTTGTATTACCCTTCCTGTTTGGCAAGGGACAGGCTGTTTTCCCTGCTTTAGAATAGTCCCCCCAAATTGGAGCAGATGCAGCTTCTGAAAATGTAATGTCTGAAGTACTGGGGTTCTTTGCTTGTGCCTGGTGTAGCTGGTGTAATTGTAGAGATAATTCTCATCTCTACAAAAGAAAGTGTGGAGGTGTGAAAAACAGACTTGGATAATTCTTGATGTTTTGTCTGATAGTTGGTGGGTGTCTTGATATCTTTTCCTTTGATAAAACCAACTTATTTGGCTTGGGCTGTGGTCTTGGGCTGTGGTGCACATTATTGCTGGTGTGTTTTACATTTTTGGGAAAATGGCTGCAGTGACTAGGTTTCTCTACATGATTTTTACTTCAAGTAGCCCTCAAGGTGGTGTTTTTAAGGGTGCAATTCATAAAGTTGCTAAACACTGATGGAAAACTGAAGGGGTTCTTTTATTGCTGAATGTCTGTAATTTACAACTGTATGTAGCTTTCCTTGGAATGCAAAAGGATTTTGATTTCAGTTTGCAATGTACAGTTAGTTTCACTTTTGATGCCAGCATTGCTTGACAGTGGATTTGCAGTGACATAATAAAATCGAAAGAAATATCTATGGCACCTCAAAGTTCCATAGTTAGGTTCTTTCTCCTGAATTTTTTAGAAACTGGAGCAAGTTTTAAATCTCAGCCATGACATAAAACCTATTTGTAACTCCTTTTCCTATTACTTTTGCAATCAAGTAAGGGGTTTCCTTAATTATCTTTGAAAATGTTTTGATGCTCAGCAGTTTAAAAATGTGGGGGTTTTGTTTGGTTTTTTGTTTTGATTTGGTTTTTTTTTAAGCATGGCCTATATTGTCTTGTCTGAAGAGTTACTCTTGGGAGATGCCAGCAGAAGTTACTTCCCTTATATTAGGATCCCCAAGGAGAACAAGGAGCTTAAGTTTGGATGTTGTTCAGTAGTTGTATAACAGTCATATTTTCTTTCCTGCTAACAATTAGAACAAAGTACTTGCTCATTATTAAGGAAGCAAGGTATAACCTTTCCATACAGGAAGGGATGCTGAGCAGATGCTGACAACTAGGAAGCTATCAGTTATTCAAATTAACCTGTATTAGTAGCACATTAGATGCTTTAACCAACTGTACACAGGTTGGGATTTAATGGGTAATGTAAAACATACTTGATTGGGAAGGTAAGAATGTATAGTGTTGATTTCACCCCTCAGTATTGAATAGTGGGATAAACTGATAGATCCAGAATTAGTCTGCTACTTATAAAAGCTCTGTGATAAAATAGTTTCATTTTTCTGGCTGGCTGTTCATTTAAAAGTTGCAACCATTCAGAAAAAGTAATATGAACTATAGTTATCTGGTGAAGAATTTATTTTATGAAGAATAATTATCTTGCCTTTATGGGTGCTTATTCTTGCTTTAAGTACAATGTTGTGACTTAACAACAGTTTTGACATCTTGAATGTCTTAGGAAGAAGTAAAGTTGAGTGTCTGTCAAGATGGTGACAGTGTTAACTCACAGAATTTGCTAGTTGCTAGGCCTGCAGAAGTAAGTTGTTTTTTGTAGGGTTTATTAAAAAGCAACTGCTGTGATTTAACCCCTGCTGGGAGCTCAGCCCTGTGTGGCCACTCACTCACTGTCCCCTGGTGGGATGGGAGAGAGAATTGGAAGGATAAAAGTGACCAAACCAGTGGGCTGAGACAGGCAGTTTATTAAGGAAAGCAAAATGAGGAATTTGTTCACCACTTGCCATGGGCAGGTGCTCAGCTCCAGGACATCAGGGCTCCATCATGTGTAGGGGTGGCTTAGGAGGACAAATGCCATGGTTACCAATGTTCTAGTCTTTCTTCTAGCCCCAGCTTTACATGCTGATAATGACACCCTATGGGCTCGATATCCCTTGGGTCATTTGGGGTCAGCTGTCCTGCCTGTGTCCCTTCCCAACTCCTTGTACACCTCCAGCCCCCTCACTGCTGGGGTCTGTGAGGAGCAGCAAAAGCTTTGGCTCCATGTGAGCACTGCTCAGCAATAACAAAAGCAACTCAGTGTTCTCAGGCACAGGTTGCCCAGAGAAGCTGTGGCTGCTGCATTCCCTGGAAGTGTTCTAGGCCAGGTTGGATGGGGCTCTGAATAAGCTGGCCTAGTGGGAAGTGTCCCTGCCCATGGCAGGGGGTTGGAACTAGATGATCCTTAAGGTCCCTTTCAACCCAAACCATTCTAGGATGATCAACACCGTTTTGAGGTACAAATCCAAAACAAAGCCCCATACCAGCTACTATGAAGAATATAAACTCCAAGTTCACGACAGGAACCCAATATATGATTTCAGGTGGAACTTCTGGTGGCTGAGAGCTGTCATTACAACCTCATTGCTGTACTTTTAGATGCAAAACTAAGGTAATGCTACAGATCATTCTGCATTATGCTGTGGTACTGCATCTTCTTTGCCTCTGCTTGCTTCCAAAGGCAAAACTGCAAACTGGAACAAATTATCACAGGAAAGCAATACTTGTTCTCCTTGTTCTTACAAACGTGTGCTGTAGTGGTTTTTTTGTTTGCTCGGGATTTTTTTGTTTAGTTGTTTTTTTTTCCCTTGGCTTGTTTTTTGTTGTTGTTGGGGGTTTTTTGAGATAGTTATTACTTGCAATAGAAGAAAAATTGCAAATTTAAATAGTAAAAAATGTGGTAGAGGGGAGCAAAACCTATATTTGTATTTAGGGCTGTGTTTAAGGAACCATGCTATCAAGTCACCACCTCCTTTGTGTCAGTAAATAGCATGAGAATTGGTATAAATGTTAATTAAGCACTTGGTCTCTTGTGAATGAAAATATTAGTAGAATGTTAGCTTGCACAACAGAAATCTAATTTTACACATGACTACGCAAAACACTCGCTGGTTTGCCAGGTTCCCTGGTGAGTGAATGGGAGAACCTCTCCCAGAGGTGAATGGCATCTTCCAAAGTGTGCTAGGATGCATTAGCTCATCGATTTTTGCAGGCTTTTCTTAGCTGTGTGGTGTT